AACTCTCCGTGCTGTTAGGAAGTTCAGTCAGGTAGAATTGCTTACTGTAACACTTAATTGCTTAGAATAAAATCTGGTTGGTTGGCCAGTTGCCTGCTTTGCTCAGCTGAGAGGACAGTACTGAAGTTTTGTAAATGATGGCAAAGACTGTCAAGAACCAAGTATTACGAACAAACTGGGAAAGAAATCTGTTACTTTACACTATTTGCAGAGATTGTACATAACATTTCATCCCTGCAATGGGCTGTGAAAACTTTTCTGTAGTTGAGAAATTGCAGTACTACATAGGGAGGAAAATCACTACTGGCAGCTCAGGTTTATAAAAACTGGCAGTGCTACATGGGGGGCATTTCCTATTCGTAATCTAACAGTTAAGTAAAGTTCGGCCTTGCAAGCATGTTCCATATAACTCATTGAGAGTTATAATAATATAATTGTATATTACTATTATTATTATATGAGATTAAACCACGTGATTTTCTTTTCTGTAGTTTCATCTTCTAATGAACGGTAGCCAAATTTAATTGATAATCTGGCAAGTAAAGGATAAATGTTTGCACTGTGGTGTGTGAGAGAATTCTTATCAACTGTCAGGCAGTGAAATGCCAAACGTAGTATTTGACTGTCATGGGGCTTTTAAAACATTTAAATATGAAATTGCTGTAACCTATGTTATGAAGCGTCACTGTCAACATTAGCTGACAAATTGAGTGAGTTAATTAAGTCATAGGTAATCATTTCTTACTACATTTGACGTGGGAAGAAAGGTGTCTGGATTTTACATTCAGTAGACAAAACAACAAAAACAGCTAGCTAGAAAATTCTGCAGCTGTATTATCTGTTTTACAAAAGAGAAGACAGGAGGAAACATTTGGATCATACTGGTCTATTTATCTGTTTTGTTAAAGTCTCTACAAAAATATTAACTAATATTAAATAGCAAAAGTTAATTAGTGGAAAAAATAGATGGTGAGTGAAGATCCTGAGTGCTTTTGAGGCTCTGAAATACTGTTCAGTCTCCACTGCGTTCCTCCATGAGATTATTACCTGCCAAGGAATTTTTTTTTTTTTTTAATTAAAAACTTTATTATCAATTTGTATATTCATTCAGGGAACCTTCAAAAGAGTCATTAGAAAATTAATAGAAAATCAGGATTTTATGTTAATTCTGCAGTAAACTTTGTGTATTTCAAAATGAAGGGATTTTGAGTTTGGAGTGCCATGCTTTGCCTGCATTATTATCTCCAAGATAATTGATTATCATTTTTTCTTTATTTTTTTGGAATGTCAGTCCTTTTTGAAGTAACAAAATGACAAATGCAAAACCAAGGAGAATTTTGACAGTAAGAATTCTCCTATGTAGTAGATGTGGAAACTGTTTTCTGAAATGTCAGTCCTCTCTATTGTTCAACTTCTTTGGCTTGTCTTCCGTTACGTTAGTCTCTGAATTTTTAGATTATTGCACTTGATGTTATTGGCTTGGCCCAGAAGGAAGAAAATCCAGCTAAACTGCCATTTGAAATTGAGAGTGCTAGTATATTTCTTGGCACATTTTCATGCATCAAGTAGAAAAACCACAGGCATTATTCTGTGTTAAGAAGTGTCAACAAAACCTCTGCCATTATTTTTTTATTTGATTTGGATTGGTACCAAAGGAAATACTCTTGTAGCAACTGTAGTCACTTTAAGAAGAATCTTAATGAAGACAAATACATGCTTTTTCTTCCTTCCCTTGTATTAAAAGACCTGTTTATTTATCAGATATGCTTTAATTGCATTTCAGATGATGTTTTAATAATTAGCCTGTTTTATACTTACTTTAGAAATATGTATAAAGTGATGATAAAGTGGAGTTAAAAACGAAATGCTGAAGTATGAACTATGAAAAACCCCACATTTTCAAAAATGTCAAAACTAGGTTTAGAGTCGAGCATCAGAAAAGATTACAAAGGTTGATAGGACTCTTTACATAAAGGTCATCAATAAATGGCTAGTATTGCAAAGTAATAAATTATGCAGATGGATGCAGCTCCATGCTGTGCCACTGTAATTTGGCAATTCAAGCATCATTTTAGTATTATTTTGTTATTCCTTTGCTTATGTGGAAACTTTCCCAGCTCTTGTTCTGTCAGCGTCCCTCAGTCAGGTCAGCCTTAAGTCATCATGTTTTAGTGCAGGTTATTTTGGCCTTAACTGTGCTTTAGTTTCTGAATCTGTAATCACATACACATTTAATTCTGAAATCAGTAAAACAGCCTGAGAAGCTGGCACTAAACAATAATAAATATTTTATGCATATAGATTCTGCTTCCATGAGACACTGAAAATTTTAGCAGTACGTTACAACATTAGGTACTCAGAATTAATTTCAGAAATTTGTGATGAATTCATAGAAATCTAATTTTGGCTTTTAAAAAGCTTAAAGCACATGTTGATGTAATCTTGTAGTGAATAGGTGCTACAAAGATTTTTAACAGAGATGTGATGGATAGAATTATTCCAGAAGTCCAGAGTAAGAGGATTTGTGAGACATACTTGGCTATCGTTAGTGTTTAGGATGCCTAAACAAATTAATATATTCTGTAAGTGCGTTTATTAAAATTATCAGTAGTTAGAAATGCTAGAACATGAAATACACATTTTTGGTGATATGCTACATAAGAAAACATTTTCACATTGTATTAAGATTTGCTTCACTAAAACCATTTCTGTGTACATATTTATTTTAAAAATTGGGAACCTTAGTAAATATAAATCTTGGGCTTCTTTCATTTTTGTACAAGTTGTATTTTTCTCTTAACTATGACACAGTTTTGCTGTCTGAAAATGCGGTAAGTGTATCTTGTGAAATACTTGAGATCTGAAAGTTGACAGTAGTTACATAACTTGCTTGTTTGTTGCTGACTCGTGCTATTTGCAGTGAAATGGGAAATTTAAATTTAGATTACAACTGTCGTAATTACCTTTATCAGCAAAATAGCCCATTACTGACAATTACTTACAAAGTAGGAAGAATGAGCCCTTTCAGTCATTGCATTTGCTATTCCCGTCTTACATCAATTGCACATAACTCAGGGAGTTCAGGAGTCTGTTTTTCAAATTCTTTAGACTAGAAAACAACTTCCAAGAAATTCATTATGAATATTAAACACTAGTTGAAATATAAAGACTGGCACAATTTATTGTTCTTCATTACTTTTGATGTCTGCAAGCAACCAAATGAAATACGTTAGTACTGCGTGAAGAACAAAAATGTTATGTGGTGTTTGTGAGTTAGCACATCAGCAGGAAATAGAACTGACTGTTTTTGCGTTCTACTTGATTATCTGAGTGTTGTAGTCTGCAATATATGTATCTGAGATAAATTTAACGTGGTATTTCTCTTCAGCATATGCGACTTGCAGCTGTATTTCCCTAGAGCAAAGGCAGACACATGATAGTGGTTCTGTACCTGTTAGTGCCTGCGAGGCATGCAAGGTCTCTAACTGTTGAAAATGAAGGTGTTTGTTTTTAGGCACTTTTGGAGCCAGTGAACATTTGGCGTAATGTGTTGTGACTGTTCTGATTTGCAAAAAGGCTCCCTGTTGATTGTTTTTAAAATCTGAAACATTTTTACTTGTTCCATATTGAAACAACTTTCAGTTCTCTGAAAGTCAGTTGCCATATTAACTAAAGCTTTCATATAGAGCCATACAACATGTATTGAGGAAGAGAATGATATAACTTCACTCTAAGCCTTTAAGCTATCAGAATTTTGAATAACTAAAAATAATAATTTGTTAAACAGTAATTATTGGGCTCCCCTACAATCTTGTACAATGTATTCAAATTTAAATGGAGCTGGCATGGGTGAAATTACTTCTGTAAGTTTGTACTGTGCGTTCATATCCATTATTCTCTGGCCTGCTTGCTTCAACACAGAGGCCCCAGGAAGCACAGTGGGTAATACAGATGGACAGCTGATCTTTTTGGTCACAAAAATTCATATATTTCAGATGTCATTTGGCTTCTTTAATCTTTATACAACGTCTTGTAACAGTGCCACTGTACTTCTGGGATGTTAGTTGTTCATTTACTTTTTTAGTGCTTTTTTAGCTCTGATAAATTTGGAATTTGGAAGATCAGAGTGTTCTCATTGTCTTAGCTTCTGGAATACCTCTATGAATGTAGATGAAGGAGAACAGGGATAGCAAAAAAATCTTTCACAAAGAAATAGAATAGGGATGTCCTATTGAGGCCTTAACAAAGAATTCTTGTCATACATTTAGATGAAGTAAGGCATCAGCGTTTCTGCAAATTTATGACGTTAGCTAAAACCACTTAACAGAATGCGATTCTTTGGGAGGTAAATTTTGCTAAATATAAAGAAGTCCAGCTAGCAGATCAGTTTTGCTAAAGATAGAAATAACGCGTGATACATTGATACTTATTAAAATTTTGTATTTGTTTCATATTAATAAATTATTTAAGCTTCAATTTGTTTAAATTTAAATAGTTCTGTTTTGCATGCATTAATCTCAACTTTCTGTTTCAAGTGAATACAGCCTATATTTATGCTCTCTTTTATACTTCTTTGCTTGTTTATTACTGTCTTCTTTTTGTTACCAGTGTTTTATTTTTGGAAACGTTACATTATTTGCAAATCTTGTTGCTTGTAGTCCTGCCTCAAATTTTTAATATAAGAAATTAGTGAATATATATCTACATATTCATTTCATTTTATAAATTTGTGGATTGGTTTTTGTATATTGAGAAGCTGTGACTTTAATCTTTTTTCATTGTGAACCATTAAGTCATCCAAAGGAAGAAAAATAAGTCCAGTGTACTGTATAAGTATTTCCTTTTCATGTTTCTGTTTGTAATGTTATGTATTTATTTGTATGCATCACCACATTTTAAACTATTTGGGATCAGAGGATTATTTAATTTTCAGATACTACTTTTGATAGTTAAGGACTTTGGGAAAGGTTCAGTAAAATGTTGGTTTATTCTGTCTTCAGAACAAGTTCATAGACACTTGGATCAGCATGAGGTGAAATATTTGCAATTTGCTTTCCGATGGATGAATAACTTACTGATGAGAGAAGTCCCTTTACGATGTACCATCAGATTATGGGACACATACCAAGTAAGTGCTTTATTACACTTCCATCTCTCTGACTGTGTGTTTCCAACATGCAGGTGTGTTTCTGTGTTATTCTTCTTGAACTTTTTGATTTAGAGTCATAATGAAATGAGTCTTCCGTGATCATTACCATTTAGAAACATTAAAAGTTTTCAGTCATTTTGCTCTTAAAAAAACCCAAGCACTTTATATAGGTATCAATTTCTAGTACTAAAATGTACCCCTTGTCAAAGCATGTGTTAATGACCATACTCCTTCTGCCTCTTCAGAAAAACAAAACATTGAGTTTTGTTTAATCAATGTTCTCCATAGATTCTGAATTCCAGGCTTCACACTCCCCCCCCCTCCCCCTTAACTATTCATTCCAAAACTAACATACATCTCTCCAGCACAGAGAAATGCTCATCCTTCTGTAATTAGTCTATTTCTATTGTTTATTCAGACAGAATTCCTTGTGTTGCTGACCTCTACTTGAGGCAATTAGTTTCCTCAATAATTTCTTGCTCAACTGTCAAGCGAAAGAATTGGTATTAGCAAAAAACTGTTAGTTCTTAGTTCTATTTCTTAGTGTTCCAGCAGCTTCTGCTTCTACTTTTTAATTCTTTTTAATTCTTTTAATTATTTATTTAAATGATAGACTTTTGCCAGAGGTGAGGAGCACTGCCAAGGAAGAGGTATCTGGGTAGGACAGACTGCCTGGTTCCATTGAGTCTGTACTGGGTGTCCATTCTGGCTCCCCCACTTGATGAGGACATGCAGGACAACAGTGAGCGGCTTCCCTTCTCTTGCAAGGATACAAGAACAGCGGCCTTTCTTTAAAGAGGGTTGCACTGTTGTTTTCACAGAAGGAAACCTTTTGTCTCCTTGCTCTTCCCCTCTTACTATCACAGCTAGAGTAATGCCTCACCGAGCTGACTGTTTTCTTCAGTTCAGAGAAAATATGGACTAAATATCGATGTTTCCAGTTTAAATTACAACTTAGTTATTCTCAGAGTAGGCCCAGTTTTCCCATGAGCTACACTGGGAGGTTTCAGGGGAACAACAGCGCTCTTCTGCTGTGTATTTCCTGGTGTGATAGATAACTATTGTTATCTAGAATGGTTAGAACCATGCTATGTCTCTTGAAATTCTTTGCAGTTCTTCCATTAATGTTGTGAGAATAGGATCAGGCACTTAAATGCTATCCAGATCTGTCTTGGTTTGAATTGTAATAAAGGTTCTCTATCTGGTATCATGTTTTTGTCTAGTTTAATTTGGGATTCATCAGTCATTTGTTATGCTCTGTGAAGTAAGTCATTGAACATACAATCCAAAATACCTGTGGTTGATCTAGTTAAAGTGTAGGGGCAGAGGGAACTGGAAAGGTTCCCAAATCCTCTGTTAAGTAAATGCTCTGGTATTCTGTAGCTGTGTCTCTGAAATCCACTAAAATTTATCACTGTCTTCTGAAGCAGAACTTTGTAAAATAGGAAAATTAAGGACATTATGCATGCTGCTTACAAAGAATGTGTTGCAAGAGCTGCTTAGCTGTAAATGTTGTGTTTTACTTATTCTTTAACTCAAATTGCATTTTAATGAGAATGAATTATTCCTTCCTTTACTTGATTTGGTCTTTGCATTTTTCTGTTTGGTTTTATTTTTACGGTAAATGCTTGAAATATTTTATATATATTTTTGAAAGTGATATTGCTTGTGAAGTAATGCCTAAGACTCATTTTAAATCTATAGAACTGTACTACATGGATGGACACAGACTTTGTCAGATGCGAAAGATTTCACAGCCCGATAATGTAATATAATAGCTCAGATTTATCTTTCTATTATTTCTTGCCTTTTTATTCTACCTTTTGCCACGTTTTTTGGCATAAAGAATTGGTAAACCAAGATAGCATGGTGGCAGAAAAATTCAGGGATTATGCATGTTAGTTTTATGTTTGCTCCTTTTTGGAGTTGGGGGTGGTTACTGACACTGAGTTAAAGATTTGTTTGCATATTTGAAACAACGAGTAAACTCTGACCTAAATGATGCAGCATTCTGCATTGAAATGTGGGGGGGATGTGTATGTGCTCTACATCTATGCTGTTCAACACTAAACAGATATTTTAAAAAGTTAGGTTTTCTGTCAAAGTCTCTGAGGCTAACCTTGATTCACTTTAAGACATTTTGTAGAAGTTTGCATCAACTTTTTATTTAGGTTGATTTTTTTCTTAAAAATCTGTGTAGTCCTTGAGGCCCTCTTAAGATCCACTGTATTTATATAGCTGTGTATGTTTCTCTTAAGTGCAAAAAGTCATTACAGTGGTAGCATCCATTCAACATCCTCCATCCTTTCCTAGAAGCAATACAAGTGTTAGGTTGTGAAGTCGTACAGAGTTAAATTTTAACTATTGGGTAAAAGTCTCGTCTTTTTTTTTTTAATTCTATGCTTGAATATTGAGTTCAGAACAACATCTGATTTCTGGTCAGTTGGGAGCTTGAAGGAAAACTCTCAATGGTGCCATTAAATTCTCCTGATATTTGATAATGTACTGTACTGACTGCTCTTTGAGATGAGGCAGTTCTATTTTTCATTTTACTGTTGATCTTCTGGCCTGATGTTCTTACACAAATTACCTTTCTGTGCTGTCATTCCTGCAGTGATTTCTCTGTGTAAATAACTCTGTAGGAGTACATAATTTCCTTGAGAAACACTGTTAGAAACTTACTCAGACTTTTGTGTTAGCTGGGTATTAAAATTTATGTGGATCTGAAATTGTTTGGGAGAAACAGCAACAAAACAACAAAAAATGCAACAAAATGTGAATGCAAAAAAAAGGAAAGCTGAAGCAGTATATTAGCTTTCAGTTTTAAATATATTGTGGCAAGTGCCATTGGAAAGTGTAGATTTCAAGTGTACAGCCTAAAGTTTAATCCTGCCAGGAAACCTTTTTGTTTAGTACCACTTTGCTGACTGCTATATAGCAGTCTGCATACAGCTGTCTAGAAGGCTGATGAAGCTGAATTCTCCTAGTCTTTGTATACATTGCAAAACAGGTGAGTGAAGTACTATTTACAACTTACCAGTCTATTTTTTCCTTCTTGGAACTAGTTATTTCTTCCTTGTCCAAGAGTCTGATGTTTCCCTTCTTCAAAATAAATATTATTTAAGTTTTCTGAAAAATGTGTCTTCTTTACACCAAGTATTATTGCAAGTCCTCGGGTAGCAATTTACATACTTTTCTTATACAAGGAGAGATTGAAATTTATTTTCTCTCCCTCTTACTTAATGCTCACTTTTATTGTGTCTCAGGTTGGACTTCTGTTGTCCAGCATGGTAACATACATGCTTTTTTTCACCTTTGCTCGTTTGTATAACTTAAGCAACTAATTCATAGCTTTTGTTGGGGCAGGGTTGGGGGGAGGATTTTCTTTAAATATGGACATCTAATGTTACAGTTTAAAAAACATCATTGTTCATCCATTTTATTGGTCAGTGGTATGATAGCTCTCTGCAGTATTTTGCAGCCGGATATATTTCTTAGGCTATCCTCAGTAAGTTTGTTTCTCTACTAAACTGTTCATTTTCTAGGTCGTTCTACTGAGACATACTAATCTTACTGTTATTTTTGCCCTTTCATTTCTTGTATTTTATTTTTTCTTTAATTCATGTCCTCTTTCTGTCCTGTTCCACAACAATTAATGTCAGGGTCTAGCTAAGTGAAATTGATGAAAATATTTGGACATGTGAATATTTAATATCCAATTACACGAGTAGGATCATGTCTTTAAGATTTATAGACATTTGTCAATTTGATTGAAGCCGGCCAGCGGGTTAAATGTTTCCGAAGTGGGAGAGATGGACCTGGTGGAACATAACCTTTCCTTCCTGGACATAAAATGCAAATGTGAAAGTTTAATTTTCTTAGGAAATAAGGGTAAAATACTGCTTAGCTTGGTAATGGCTTCTTGTCCATATGGAATATACTGTAAGATAATTTCTTGGATTCAGAAGCATCAGAGGCCTCTGGAGCCTGTAGTCAAGTTATACCTTCTTCTTTGATTCTATTATCCCTCATTTTTGTATGAGGAATGTTTTCTTTTCTCCAGCTTCCTGCCTGCCTCAGAGCTGGAATTCACTGTTCTGCTCTCTTCTGAGCTGAGCTGCAATTGTCCCCGCTTTCACTGTAATTCAAGAGCACACCTTTTCACATTATCTTCTTTATAAGTAATTCTAAAGATGTAATTAAAATCAAAAGTTCTTGGACACTAAACGTAAGAGGACTTTTACTTACAAGGTTTGCAATCCAAATATTTCCTTTTCAAACAAAACATCCTTACTTTAACTCTCCTTTTGTGTTCAAGTTAGTTTTTTCCCTTATGACATTAGTTCCTGATGCTTACAGCTTCCCTTCAACCTTAGCAATTGTGAAGTTTTTTTTGTTTTCTTTTTTTACTTTTTCAGTCTTTGTCAGCCAACTGACTCTCATCACCTTACACCACATGGATAGTTATTTGCCAGGACAACTGTGTTGCCAAGGCAACTTCCCATTGCCAAGAGTTGTGCTCATTAAGACTTTATTTTGGCAGGCAATTATATTCCAGTGGCATAACACTGAAGTCAGTGACCTCTTATTGTTTATCTTTTGCTAACTGCAATCTGGAGTAACATAAAACTGACAGACAAGAAGAATGTTAGTAAGAAAAAGTTCATCTTCAACTATAACTTTTTGTACAGACTTGAACATGCGTAAGGGTTGTATGTTTCTGAGTACCAATTTTTCTGACCTTAAAAAGCACTCATTCATATTTATATAAGTTCTCAGGTTTTCTCCTAGGAAGGATGTAATCTAAATTGTAGAATTGTAGAATTACAATAATGTATATATACACTTGGTATTCTTGTTGATTATCAAGGTTTAGTTTATTAATTCCTATTTAATTTTGACTTTTAGTGTGAGACAAGGCTCCCAATCTCCTCATGCAAGCAAATTAAGCAGATCATTAATCTGTACATTCTTATCCC